CTGGCCTCACCCCCACTGCCGCTGGCCCATACCCCGATACCACTATGCTTGTGTGAATTCGTGCAGCATTGGTGCGCATTTCACTACCTAACCCTTGACTGGGGGTGCTCTGACGCCAATTGTTTTGTTTTGTGCCAGGAGAGCGGCAGTGAGTGACTGGGCGACGCTGGTTAATCTTCAAGACTGGGGGGAAAAGTCCTGCCCGTCACAGTGTCCGCAGGGTTAGCTCGTAGTGGTCAACCTCTGATTCCGACTTGCTATGATAGCCCCCAGGAGTGTGGCCTCCTTTTTGGGGGGCCTCGTTGGGGGGCAACCCACAACTCTGCAGAGTGGGGAGGTTTTGTAGTGAAGTCCTTCATGAAAGCATGCGCAAGTGGTCACCCCTTCACAGGCGCATTGCTTGAGACATGTGTAGGATTGCGCCAACCATTAGAAATAGAATTCTAACGTAGAATAATTCTAATGAGAAATCATCCTGTAAATGAGAAGGGCCTGTTTCTGGGATTAGAATCGCTGTACAACAGCCTGGATCCTGCATTAGAATCGCCAAAAACAGAGGCTTGTGCATTATAATACTTGCACATTAGTAACTTACCTATAGATGTTACTCTGGGTCAGCTATGGCAGATCAAGCGGACAAGCCTGACACAAAGCAACTTCAAAGAAGCTAAGGCAAAGCAGCGCGCGTTGTGGTGGGTTCGTTTCAACGTCCTGCTTACAGCTGGTGCTGTGTGGCTCCAATGCGTCCGCTGCAACAAGATCCTGAGCGCTAAGAATCCGTCACAAGTTTGCTCTCAGCACGTCAGAGCATGCTCCTCCCGGCCCTATTGCCGGTCCCGCCGCCGACCCCTCCACCGCCACCCCTTCCACTCCCCTCGATGCCTCTGTCAACAAGCGCCCTCGCACCGACGGTTCAGACGTTCGCAGCTTCTACCCCTCTTCTGTTGCCATCGCCCGGTTCCTCTGGAATCTTGCTCTTTTTTTCTTCAAGTGCAGCATAGCTTTGCACCTGATCGAGCACCCCTGAGTACATGAATGGAATGGTTGGTGGGACTGCGTGCCTTCCACTATAGTGACGGCACGTTCATACAGGCCTTTCGGTTCGTGAGGCAGGGTGGGGTTCCCAGACAGTGACTGCATTGCCCTATGCAACTGGCTGGAAATAACAACACTTGGCAAGGTTAGCTTTGCATTCTAAGGGGGTATATATGGCCAAGAGGTACACCCTTCTGAGTTACGACCCCCGCCATCGACTTTCGGCCAAAAAAATTGGAAACGCCTGGATAACCATGAGCCGCCATGCCCGCAAATTTTCAGTTAATTCGTCGCGCTGGGTGAAATGATAGCAAAGTAATTCTCATTCGCATCCTCATATTCTAATTTACTTCTAATTAGAAATGATATGAGAAGGATTTTCCTTCTACGGTTAGGAACAAGCTTAGACATGTGGAATGGCTTGGTGCATGGTTAGGGAAGGCCGTCTGTGGCGGCAAATGTCTTTGGTGTTGGAGCTTCATAGAGGCCTCTGTTCTTCTTGGGTCAAGTGCGTGAGTGCTCCTATTTCTGACAGTGGTCAGGGCTAGAATGTGTACATCAACCAGGTTGCGCGCCCGGGTCGGGGTTTGGGGTTTTGTAGCAGCCGGTACACAGTACGGTGCTATAAATACGCACAGAGTGCGACCGCCAGCAACTCGAGAGACCTTTTCAGCGGTCAGCTGCTACATTTGGTATCGAGACCTCGTGAAAATTCACGATCCTGAAGTCGTCGGTTCAAACCCCACCAATCACGCTTGAGTGGAAATCGGAAATTATAAAAGTAGCTGAACCGACTGGACTGTCTCTGTGCCTGAAAAACCTGAAGACGGCTAGGCGCATGTGAGCCGGCACATGACGTGACGTGGAGTAAGTACCCACTGCCCGAGGGTAGGCGAAGGTAGGCACAGGCTGGCGGTATACGAGGCTCTAAGGGCCCGGGACGGTTCCCTTCAAAGGGGGGGAATGTAGCAGCCGGTACACAGTACGGTGCTATAAATACGCACAGAGTGCGACCGCCAGCAACTCGAGAGACCTTTTCAGCGGTCAGCTGCTACAGGTTTATGTACTTGCACTTGCAGGTGGTCCTTTTATAGTTTGTGGAGATCTTCTTGTGCTTTTCCATATGGCTTTTGGTCGATTGGGGGCTTTGAACCCTCAAGCTCCTGGTTCTTTCTTGAGCATCTTGTGTGGTGCTCCCTAATCGGTCGCTGATGTGGCATGTTGTGTGTTAATTGCAGTTTGTGGGAGTTTTAGCGCTATGGAGTGCATGCAGGTTGGCGTGTGCCCTGGTGGGAGCACAGCGTGTGCAACAGTGCAAGAGCAGTTTGTCTATCTCCATCTCTCCTCTGCCTGAGTAAGCATTGGGTGAACATTACGGGACAGACCAGAACCATCATTAGTCTGTGAAGCGCTTATAAACACCCGGCTATCGAATGCACAGCAACATCTTGCACCTTGACAGTATGGTATGGTCAGTCGATGGGCGAGAAGAGAAGCGAGACATGTGTCACGAGAAGGTCACTGACCAACATGCAAAGCGCACAGGGAATCCGCCTACACTGCTACTTGGTCGCGCGTGCCTTGGGCCGAACGGGAGGTAGGCGTGACTACTCTGCTGCTCACACAGCACACATCGGGGTCCCATCCTCACACAGTCCCGCACCAACCCCTGTAGACAATACAACCCTACCGAACCACTGTAACCCTATATATATAGCGCCTTTTGAATATTTAAATATTATCAGTCCTGGTGTCTATGAGCTCTGTCATCGTTACCTCCCCTCCCTTGGCACCCTACTTGCTATAACCCACCCCTTATACCCACACGTTCTCGTGTTGATCTGCCGACGGACCTGCGGCCCCCAACCCGGGCTTGGTCGTCGGCGCGGCTCCTTCCTGATGTATGTATGTATGTATGTATGTATGTATGTATGTATGTATGTATGTATGTATGTATGTATGTATGTATGTATGTATGTATGTATGTATGTATGTATGTATGTATGTATGTATGTATGTATGTATGTATGTATGTATGTATGTATGTATGTATGTATGTATGTATGTATGTATGTATGTATGTATGTATGTATGTATGTATGTATGTATGTATGTATGTATGTATGTATGTATGTATGTATGTATGTATGTATGTATGTATGTATGTATGTATGTATGTATGTATGTATGTATGTATGTATGACGTTGATTACACTGTGGGCTGAAAAGCCGGGGGCCCAGGGCCGAAGCACAGCGCGGGGGGCGGGTGCATACGGCTGGTTAGTCTCATGCACTCCGCCCCCGGGTCAGGCCGCACGGGAAACGACGGCCGGCACGCAACAGCGCTTGTTTGGCGCTCCAACTAGACGGGATCTATGCCCGTTGGTCTCCTAACATAAACGAAGTCGCAACTGGGGGGCTCTTCCTGCCGACCGAACGAACCGAGCATCTCAGAGAGCTCGCTACCAGGACTTGGGCGACCGGGAGCCCGACGAGTCTTCCCGGGCTGGGGAGGTCACCAAGCTCAAAAATCCTCACGCAAAAAAGAGCGCAAAGAGCT